AAGACCTGGGACAATATGCATCTGAAGCAGTTGCCCAACGGCGACGTGCTTGCAGCGTTCAGAGACCATGACAAGAATGCGGCGGGGGGCTTATACTTTCTATCGCGTGAGTTTTGCTCGTTTTTTCTCCACCATATATTGGGCTCATTTTCTCCGAGATAACCGCAAGACATGGAAATTCTTGCCGCTAATGGACCAGAGGACGCCGACAGCAGCTAATAACGGGCTTTGGGTGCGTGGTATCTGCTTAGGGAACCTACTGTCAATGTGAACTGTTTTGCAGGAACCATTCATCTGCGTTGCGAAGAGTGGCGCTACTACGTTGCCGAAAACAGCGCTTCCGACCAGGACATTTCCGTGCGGTCATCCACAAACAACGGGGCGACCTGGTCTGATGCGACGATGGTTGCTGGTGGGGAACTACTGCGCGGGATGGAATGCCTAGCTGTACCGACTACACGACTTCAAGCAGTTCAGCGCTGGTTTTATGCGTATTCGAGACGACCGAAGGGAAAGAACCGTTGTTCACCGTCTGTCGTCAGCAGCAACGACGGCCTCTGTCTCATTGTCACTTGATGCGCTTTTGAAGGTACGACCTACCTTTGACTCCAACTTCTCTCAGGTCTGAAACACTCCCTTCAAGGACAACATTTTCTGCTTCATAGCAATCTCACAATACTTCCGGGCTTTACTGTCGGCTCCCTTGCTCCGCTCCATCAACGCCGCACCATCCGCACAATACACAATCGATACTTCGTCCAGATATGGAAAGTCACGTGCAGCCTCGCCCACCGAAAAACATCGATATACCGCGCCGACCGCGTCAGCTGGCGCTCGACCAAGTGTATCTCACGCTGGACAGCATTGCTCACTTCCCATCCAAACCTGTCCGCCTCATCACTCGCGGCAGAAGGCCCTCGTTGATTGAGTTTCCGCCAATCCTTCGAGACACGAGAAAGCGACCGCCCTATGTGGCGCAACATGGTGTTTTTTTTGTCGAGGGGCAAAAATATACGCGGGTGCGGGCACTTCCTATGGATCGGTCCAGGACGATGCGAATTTGGAAGAGGTTTCAGCCGCGTGTTATAAAATATCGGGAGAAGGGAGGAGAGGAGCTCAACGTCGATGATATCTTTCAACACATGAAGCTCACGCTGCTATTTCAGCCCCGTCCCGGGCCACATATAATGATTGTCCCCTGCATCTGATGCTGCTCGCCCGCCGCTGAAACGACGATTGCGTGCCAAACCCCGTTCCTCGCAGTGCTTGAGCAGAGACAGAGTTCTTCTCCCGCGGATTTGATTTGTACATTGTTAGGCACGTATGCCTGTATACCAGTGACAATCCTTTCTTGAGCTCCCGGCGGGTTGAGATAGACCAGAATTGTTGTTGATGACGAGCGAGTCGCATGTTGTTTGTGAAGACTCTGAAGAGTACTTTTTACCGTTCCACTTCTATTTGCCCGTGGAGAAAGCATAGTTACTATAAATTCCACCAGCACTCAGGCTGAGTTACTCGTCATTTCCAAACTAGAAGGTACCAGTATAGATACAACGATTCATGAATCACTATCCGCTAGGCTACATCGAGAATTTGCTGTCTAATGAGCTGCGCTGTGGGATCTGTCGAATCCTCATCATGAAAATCGCCCGTGTAAATACGGTCCTCTGGAAAATGCGTCAGCAGCATCATGTCTGAGAGTAACCTAACCACTCACTGTCGATGCGGCCTTGCTTCCTGTAATCAAGAAAAATGTCGATTGCCGTCCAGAAGGAGGGCTCGTAGCTGGAAATGACCTCTTCCCATTCGTCATAGACGGATACGACAATTCTTGGGTCACGGATCGGTAAGCCGTGGAGATATTCCAGGAGATCAGGGACGAGGTAGGGGTTCAAGGTCTGTGAGGGCTCCATGAAGGCAAGGACCTGAAGAAAGGCGCAACCATCCAAGATTTGCTGGACGGAATGGGCTGGTGGCTGGCTCTGAAGTGCAAGGTGGGTCAGGCTGGGCAGCGCCGTTAAGAACGGAACAATGCGAATGAGGTCGCGGGAGTGGCTGTTGTGGCCTTCGCTGTCGAACACATCGAGGTGCGTGAGCGCCGAGAACGCTGGTGCATGGTCTTTCATGAAGATCGGGTGCGGCATGAGATTTTCGAGAAAAGCCCCAAGGCGGCGAAGCGGCATGGTGGCCAAGATTGGAAATAATCTTGGGCCAATGTCCATTTTGTCAGCACCATTCACGGCGAATTCCTGGATCCCAGTGCAGGACCGCAACGCATTGTAGGTGCGCTCCAAAAGGTCTTGAGCTGGTGTTCCAGAATGGGCCAGTTCAAGCACCACCACACGCACACTTTTTGCGAGAAATGATTGTGGGCGGGCAACAGCGACATGGAAGAAAGCGTCTTGCGCGGGCTTTCGTTCAAGGTCGGTGCTGATATAGACATGTTGGTACAGGAGAGGTTCGAGCCTAGATAGGTCAGCGATGCTCAAGACGCAATTTCAGTTATACATACCATATATGTGTGCGCTGAGCGACGCGGAGAAGTGTGGGGATGAAACTCCAGTCATCCTCAGCGCACATTTTGAGGATGGCCTGCTCAAGCTCCGGGGGAAAGCGACCCATGTTGCAATCGATATCGCGGATGGAAGAGCGCAGCAGGAAGGTCAACAGCACACTCGACGTGGGCGTAGTGTGGCGATCACCAGCGCCACTCGCATGATTGCATTTCCCACCCTGGAAACGAAAGTGTTTCAAGAAAAGTCGATAAACTCCAAGTTGTTGAAGTTTCGAGTCTTCGACTGGTACTAGTAGCCTGTTTCAAGGGAGAGACATAAGGACAAGGAAGTCCACAACGGAGTCGGATGCCTTTGGAGGTAAATCAAGAGAACACGCGGGCCCTGAAATCCGAGGAAAGATACGAACTAAAAGCATGTCGCATAACCGTCACTGACGTCAATCAAAGTAAAATACACTCAACTTCAAACTTGCTATGGCCCCGGGCAACAGCCACGACTCACGGGTCACCACCTTTGACGATTATGAACTCGTTGGGCAGTGAGCGCCCGGCGGAGGATAGTGTAAGTATCAGTATCTTCAGGAAATCATTTTTATTTAGCCTGTGCGCAAGAGACAATATAGAGCACACAACCTCGTCTCGAGTGGGTTGACTGAATGGCTTGAGAGTAGAAGACAGAGACCGTGAAATGGAGGCGGAATCAGTGCTGCTGGCGAGGAACCATGGTCGAGCATGGCGGTCACGGTGACATCTCTTCTTCTCTCTTACCGTCACCGCAATGTTCATCCACCTCCCTAAGCCGTTCTGTCTACAGCTCGCAAAAACCTTCTCTCATCCTTGCTCCAAATCGAAGACTAAGTGGCGACAGCCCAGCGGACGAACTTGAGGGGTTAACTAAGGAGACTTTCAGAGAGCTGCCAAGATAGCAGGCGCCGCTGGGAGCAGAGTAAACGAGGGGATGAGCGGGACGAGCTTAGTTGGCAATGGAGCAATGTGCGTTTTCAGGTGCTTTGACCTTGTATTTGCAGCTGACTTCTGGCGTAGCAATCATACTCGCAGCTTTGCGCTCGGGCAGCAGAGCACACATGAGGATGGAATCTTCGGTACTTCTAGCGTAGACCTAGGAAGGCAGCAAGCGCTGGAGGCGTTTGGATATAGGCGCGCGACAAATTACTCTCTTTCATCGTCGTCGATACGGCCCGCCTGTCGTGCCAGTTTTCCTCCACATGCCACACAAGATATTTCATCCGCTTCGTCGGCGAGAAGAATGGCATATTCTGCCCAAACCCTGATCCATCCTTGTGGCATCATCTGCGCAGCTTACCAAGGACTATGCATCTGCTTGTGGCGAATACCCGACCGATGCCGACTACAAACACGAAGGAAAATTTGGGTTACAGCTTGCGGACCATGGTAGCGACTCAACTGCGGCCTCACTACACCTCCCCGGTCTATTCTTATTCCTCCCCCCGCCCTCCCCGCCCACGCCTGCACCCTCCAAATGCAATCGACGTCTCCGATTGATCGACTTCCATAAATGGCAAGTCACGTGCGCGCTTAGCTCCCCGACGGACGGCCACATATCTCACACAACGCGGCGGCTGGCGCTCTATAGAGTATATCCAATTGTGCCTAATATGCTCCCCTCCTATCCAATTCTTTTTGTCCCGCGATTCAAGGGAGAAGGTCGCTGTTGAGCACGTTTTCCCCTGCACCCATATGAGAGGCATGGCCGATATATCTTCGTCGAAGGCCGATATATGCGTTGGAGGAGTTGACATTGAGCGATTTTTAATGGATGGATGAACTCAGGGAAGAGTTTTGAGCGGGAGGAAAGCTTTTGTGCGGACTGTGGGGATGTGGGGAGCTGCCTGTCGGACGGGCCCCTCAAGCAAGTCGATGCTTCTCGAGACACGGAGGTGGGGCTTCCCCTTCTCCTTCTCCTCGACAGCTGGTGCTTGGCTAGCAGGAGAAGGCCACATATATGGTATTCAAGTCGAAGCCAGATGCCCAACCTCCGCAGCCTGATGTGGTGTCATTATAGCTATGCGTTCAACTGTTCCCCAACAATACCACTCGATCTGACTTCAACATCTCCCTAGCAACACTGCTTTATGCTGTCTCCGACTCAGACATGTCCAGCTCTCGAGCGAACATTTAGCCATTCACCGGAGGTATTGGAGGTCTCCTCAGCAGTACTAGCATGTATTTGAAGCCCTCCCTGAATCGCACCAATTCAAATGGTTCTCAATAAATAGCATCTATTCATTGGCCACAATTTACATGTATGAATTGCCAGACAAATGAAGTTCATAGAATCTGAGCGCTTTGACTATTCGGACGTTGTGCGATGCACTTGTTTCTCGCGTGCTGAATGTGCTTCACGCCTTCTCGTCAGAATGGGAGTCGGCATCTTGAGCGCAGTGGTATGTTCGCTTACATAGAGGAACGAGTCAGCAGTCCCACCGAGAGTAATAGCCAGGACTCACGGAGTCACGATTCTGTCGACCAATAAAAAAGTAAGCTCCCGGCAGATGACACGCATACCCTGCTCGTCTCCCATCCCCTGCTCCGCATGCCAAGTTGCTAACCCTCTGCTCAGTCTTCTTTCCTTCTTGTTACCATTGCCGTTCTGCCCGTTCCCGACTTTGTCGTTCTTGACACCGTTGCTGACTAGAGCCAGGCGTTGCTTTGCGGAATGGATTCGAAAAACACGGACGGCCGAGACATCAGTAGAGGCGGTTCGGCTTCGGTTCGTCGAGTGTTGGATGGCACACATATGGTCCTTCGTTGGCTTGAGACTTTTGCGCTCGCCGTTGTTTAATGTCCACCAGCCCAGCCAGCTCGACACGAGAAGCAGCGCGAGTGGTACTGGCCGCGCAAGTAGTAGCGCGTCCCGCAGCGAAGACTGGGCGATATGTCTGGCTTGGATCCAGAAAGCAGAGACAACAAGCCCAAAACAGCCGCGAAGAACGGAAACGGTGCCAAAACAAGGTCGCAAAGGTCGTAATGCGCGAGGGTACATGCACAGGCATGTGTGGATGCAGATTTCTGAGTGGTTCTGGCCTGCCATATGCATGCAAAGCCGATCCCTCGAATACACGTGGTCGTTGTCAAAAACGGAGTCAACGAGGACGTCCTCGCGCGTTTCAGCGCCCGAAAAGAATTGTGGGGTGCGGATGACACGTAATGCACCATTAGATACAGGCGCTAGAGGCGTAGGAAGCGCAGGGCCAGACCCGCAAAATCGTCTGTAGGCTGCGTGATGGTGACATTTGAAGGCGGCAACGAGAATGCGGCTCTGCAAATGGCGGGAGTAGCAAAAGCTAACACTTGTGCAGACGAAAAGATATCGTGGAAAGAGGGAGCATGGTATTTGGCAGGGTGGGTGGTCATCGGCAAAAAGAGGTGCTCATTTTCGAGGAATGTGGGGCTTCTGGCCCATCGTGTGCCAAGACGGAGAGACGCAAGTGTGGGCAGGGGATAAGAGGATGTGGACACGTTGAGCTGGCTCCCTGTGTTGGGTTACCAGCGGCGATGCCCTTGGCGCTTTCCAGCCCGTCTGAGAGCAAAGTCAGTATATGACTGGTTTCGAACGATACACATGCAAACCCCTCCATATAAAGATGCTCTCCTCCCCAGCCGCCTGTCGCCTGTTTTCGAGTCGTTCTCGTGGGACGCGCGAGCGTTTCGAGCAGCGCAAACCTTGTGAATTAGTGCCCTGTCCCTGTTGTCGTCGTCATAGAGTTCGCAAAAGTACACCAAGCACTCGCACCATTTCGCCCTTTCAATTCGTCCCGCAGCTTCACCGGCGTTGACAACGCCGCGTTAACGTTGTCGTCGGCTGAAAGCTTTAGTGAGCCAAGCATGCTCCCCGGCGCGGACAATACACATACCTTGCCCGTCATCCTCCCGCTCCAGATTTAAACCCCTCGTGCCTAGTCCTCCTTCCTATCTTGTCGCCGCTCTTGACGAGTGCGTGTCGCGCTCGTTGTTCCTGACATCGTCACGGTTGCTGACCACCAGATCTTGCTTAACAGCATCGATTTGCGCGGTACCGACGATAGACTCTACGGTGCTTCTGCGCTGACTCGTTGCAGCAGCATTGGCAAGTGCTTGGTGGCGTAGATGTGGCGCTTTCGCTGGCTTCCCGTTTTCACGCTCGAGGTTGTCCACCGCAAGGTCCACCGACCAAGCCAGCTCGAAGCGAGGAGGGGCGCTAGTGACGCATACTTCGGCGGAGCGCGGCCCTGCGCTCCGGGGCAGACTGTGGGCGGGCTAGTCGGCGGAGCGAGCAAGAAGAGGCAGAGGCGAAGGTGGTTTGTCATCAACACGTGCTTCGGGCCACGGGCCCGGCACGCCGGTTCTTATCTCACACTCTCACCTCCCTCGCCATCGACCCCGCCGCTGCGGCGGGATGGCGCCTCGTGCCTGAAGCGGGGCCGTGTGGCGCGGGTTGGGGTCCCCCACTGGTCGTTCTGTCGGTGCTTTTAACCGGGAGACTAGCCGGGCGACAAGTCACAATTGTCGCGGAGCCGCCTAGGGAGCCTCAGCCGCCCAGCAGGGAGTCCTGCTAGTTAGGCAAAAGGGACTACGCTGTCGTCCAACACATTGCTCGCGCGGTCATAAAGCCCTTATTGTCTTCCTACTCAACGCTGACCTGCTGTACTAGTAGGTCACGGTGGCTCAGCAAGTTCGAATACTTCCTCCGGGCCGTATCGAGTCCGGCTGCTCCTTAGTACCCAATACGACCAATCGCAAAACCGCTCCTATGGCAGTTGTCCTGGCCACGCCGCGAGAGTTGTTCTGGAAATGCATCTTTGCGCCTCACTCAACAGCAGAATCATTCCCGCAGATGGTCCAGGTCGCGCCGCCTACAAAGCAATAACATCGATTCATCCTCCATACACGGTACGATATTCTGGTAAGGTCTCCTCGAAACCCCCCAGCGCTGCCGCCACTCATCCTACTGCTCAGTATCCCCGTCAATTCCTCTCTCGTCCGCTCCTCCGAGGCAACGCCCAACACACCTTGATCGGGGGTGAACGATGGTGCTGCTTGTCGTCCCGCGCCGTTGACCTGTGCCAGGGTCGGTGGCGGACCTGTCCAAACCTTGCTGCTGGAGGCCCTCTTCACGGGCAAATTGCTGTCTTGTGCCATACCACCCCGTTGCTTGGAGTTGTGGGGGGCAGGGCGGTGCCTATCATGATCTCTCATATCAACTTGAAGAGCGGAACTCGGCGCCTCAACAAAAGGCGTCATCAGCCTCTTATCTCTCCTTTTCCGACTCCAGCACAATAGCAGCGCGCACATCGAGGTTAGAACAACGAGCGCGCCGAGAACGATGCCGACAATGCCGCCGACAGACTGCTTTGCTTTCTCCGAGGATGGACGGGCCCGGGGGGAGACAGAGCTCGTTACCGTTGGTGCGGGTGCGAGCGAGAACGAGAACGAGGTCGAGCTCGAAACAGTGTTGTCGAGAGCGAGCGAGCTGATCAACGCCTGGATCGCGTTGATCTGGGAACCCGCGTCGAACGTGGTACCTGGAGGCCCAATCCACGAGGCACTGTAGATATGGCCGCCGATCTGTTTCGCGAGGTCGGCGACAGCGTTGTACTACAACACCCTTGGTCATCACTAACATCATTTGCAGGGAATGAAAGGAATACACACCTGAACAGCGAGGTATGCGAGAATTGACGGCGTCAAGGACGGGCTCATTGCGTTACGCAGGTGCGCAGCCACCAGCCCACGAGGAATCGATCCGTCGCCGTTTTTGGTAGCTAACAACGATGAAAACCAAATGCGAAAGGCTAAACAACAAAAACTCACGTCCCCACTGGATGATTCCCGTGTCATTTTGCCAGACAGTCGTTGTCAGCGAGGCAGTGATAAGGTCATCAAGCCTTGGAGGGTATTCAGTAAGCAATAGCTGGGAAACAGCGGGACATTACTCACATGTCGCGATAAGTAGTGTTGCGTGAAATCGAGTACAGCACGGCCAGTCCTTCGATTACGAGACCAGAATTATAAGGCAGGCGGCCCGCAGTGTTCAATGCACACTTGTCATTCGTGTTCACCGACAGCCCGTCGAGCACGACGTCCCCGTTGTTGCACAGGTGGGAACGGATGAAGGACACAGCCTGGACTGCCGCAGACAGATACTTCGGGTCTGCGGTCGCTTCTGCTAACAAAGCAGAAAGGCTGTATGAAAATTAAGAAGAGCGATGTCGGGCGGTGAGGGAACAAACACGAAGAAACTACTGAGGCAGGAGGTAAGTACCGACATAACAACTGGCTGATTATAGAGCGCACCCTGTTGCGAGAACAACAAGCTGAGGATCGGCAGGGTCCGTGCTCTACTTGTCGCGTCAGAATAGAGCAATGAGTTACAATAAGAAGCAACCCAGAATGTTCCGCCCGCCATGCTAACTGTGTGGATCTTGAGCGACGTCACTTATGTTAGTCGGGAGATGCACATACCCGCTTGACAGTCAGAGCTCAACGTGAAATTCTTGTTCGATGTCTTGCCTGCATCGAGCTCCGCCTGCGTGAGTGTGTAGGGCACCACCGCCGACCACGCGTCGACAGCGAATTGGAGGAACAGCGAGTTGTTATATGTCTTATATGCGACGACAGCACCGTGTCCAAAGTTCCTGTAGCCAATTCAGCCTCTGCATATCACGAGAAAGGACTGGAAGTTGCACACAGGCCATTATTGAGCTGCAATCCACCTCAGTTGTCAATTCGAATCTCCTCGCAGCAGGGGAGGAACGCTATAAAGTCAATGTCAATGATCCTCCGCGGCAACGCAAGTTCTTCACATACCACATAAAGGCCCGAGTAGTTTACCGCCGTCACCACGCTCGCCGCGCCAAAGTACCCCACAAGATCGACAGCGTATTGCGACCGGTTTGTGAGCTGGTCAAACTCGGCGAGCAGGGAGTAAAGAGCGCCAGAAAAACCATAGGTGTCCACTAAACTGCTAATGAGCCCCTCCGACAATGAAAGCGCTGGCACGCGCGGAAACACGAACCGGGATCGGGAAACATCGAGGTTGTGCTGTCCAGCTCTGAGATGGCCTGCGAGATGGCCCCTTGGGCGAGCCGAACCCGGTCCTCGAGCGAGGTGGTTATATTCGGCTTCTGTGAATTGGGGGGCCATGATCAATAAGAGCCGAAGGGACAATATAAGACACGAACCCGCCATGACGAGCTCTGCGGCTGCGAGGTGACCTGTGCCACCACAACCCCGACCACGAGAAGGGGAAGAGAGCGCATAAGATGTGGGCAGTGCCATCGTCTCCCTTAATGACCTCTGACAACAGTAGCAGGTGGCAGTCAGATGGAATCCCGCACTTGAGATCGGGATGGAGACTCGCATGAGAAGAGGTGTTGCACGCATGTGGAGTTGTTGCCCACCCGAAAGACCATTCGCATATGCTACTACAAAGTAACATATCAGTAAAAGGGAAGTAACAAGGGAAACAACATGCGTGGGATGAGCAAGAAGGAAGATCATATTTATGGAAGGAAAAGTGAGTCATAGAAATGAGCGATGGGAAAGGAATACGGTGAAGAGAAGGGGATAAGCGGCGCTGCCGCGTCGAAAGTGGGAAGGGGCGTATGGGAGAGAAGATATAAGGACACATAGAAAAGTTGGGTCATCGATGGGGTAAACGAGGAAGGGCTTTTCAAGTCGTCTACAGACAATGGTCAATGGCAGATAAAAGACAGAAACAGCACACGCACCGTTTACGTTTCCCAGCTATGTGGTGTTTCTCCTTTGTCTCGCACGCTTCGTTCCCGCGTTCTCCGCCAATAAGTATGTATCGGCTCTTGAGAACCGGCACAAGAAGGTGGATACTGTATACCGGAAGATGTCGTGAGTCTAAGTGTGGTCGCTGTCGAAAACGGTGTTGACGAGGACCATCTGGACCATCGCGGCGCCCGGAAAGAATTGTGTGGCACGAATGGCGTGTAATGCACCACGGTATCCACTCGATAGAAGCGTAGGTAGAGCAGGAGGCGAGCTTCAAAGTCGGATGTGGGCAGCGTGACGGTGACACATATGACTGGCGAAGGAGGCACCGAAAGGTGTCGTAGAAGCGTGTGTCTACTCCGCAAATGGCGGAAGTAGCAGGAGCTGGCGCTTGCGTAGATGTATGGGAGCGAGAGTCCGTCGGGGAAGAAGGGAGTATGGGGTTGGCGGCGTTGTGTGTGTGGTCTTGGTGTGGTCATTTAGCGAAAGTGCGCGAAAATAGTGGAGAAAGAGAGGTCTTCCGGCACACCCCCGTGCAAGAAAGACAGATGCACGAGTGTATGTAGACGGGGGTAAAGGAGGTATTGGGATGATGTGCAGGCGGACATGATAGCAGTTAGGTTGACCCTGTTACAGGCGGGTATGGTGCTAACGCTTTCCAGTCCGACTGAGCACGAAATTAGTGTACCATTCGCTGCTCGAAGAACGAGAAGACGCACCAATTTGAGCCGTTTCATACAGAGCTCCTCTTCACCCTCCCCAGCTCAAGCGGCAACTCGTTTCAGAGTCGTTGTCGTGGGACTTGCGAGTGTTGCGAGCAGCCCAATTCTCGCGGGCCCGGGGTAGGGTTCCTTCCGAGTTGTTGTTGTCTAACGTGGATTGAAGGGCATCTGCAGACAAGAAAACGTTAACAATGAAGAGGACGACAAGAGTATGCTTTGACACACCAAAAGGACCAGCGACTGGCTAACCAGCCATGCAAACGAGGTTGTTGTCCTTGAAAAGCTTGCGCGTGTTGGTGGTCGACACAGTCGTGCCATGCAGCATCAGCTTCGCTGCCGCTCACTCAGAAACCAAACGACAAACGAGCATCATAGCGCACCACCAAGAGCAATCTTTCCTTCTTCTCCTAGCACTCCGCCGTTATCCTTCGCCCTTAGAAGTGAGGGCGACACGCATCATCTGGCGGAGGAAGGTCAGTCGGACTTCCCGCAGTCAACTGAAAACGCACCAATAGACGCCCGCGCACGCTAAACACGCGAATGGCACGCGCCGAATAGGCCTGCACCAGCAGAATTTCCACCGTGTGGCATCACAAATGACAGTGGTGAGGCAGGTGGTCGTCAAGAGCAGGAAGGACTGAGGGTGACGGAACGTGACTGGCCCTCTTTCCTTCCGTTCCTCCACCACTCTGTCTTGTAGGCCTCCACATGCTGCACGACCTTCTGGACTCGCAGTCACTTGTGGGGATTTTATGACTGGATACTTGACTGGATAACATGTCGTCAACGATCTCAGTTAGTTGAGCGTTCTAACTTCTTGTTGTACGGGTAGTATTTTCTGACTCGTTCTCAGAAGATGTCCGATAAATACCCCGGCAAAAGTCTGAAGGACATATCTCACTGCCGCTCAACCCACCGCTCCCCTCTGACGGTCAATCATACTCTATCCAAGCTCGGCTTGGAGTGGCTTCTCGGACTGAGGATGTACTCCAGAAGTTACATAACTGTTATCCTGGTCTCTCTTGACAGAGCCTCCGTCGCACTCGAGCCTACTGTTCTCCTTGAACTTTCTCTGGGCTAATGCGAAAGATTTGCGAAAGATACTAGTATACCTATCACGGAAACAACAGCTATATATCTTCGTAGATCCCTGAACGACCCAGGCGCAATAGGAATCGTGGTATGCCCCGTTTATTATCGGTTTCCAGTTCTGGTGTTGGCGGGGCTAGGCCAGCAAACACTGTCCACCCCACAAGACGATCAACAAGCCTAGCTTTGCCTTGCTAAGTTATACGTGAGTGCTTCTAGATCTATCCGAAACTGCCACTGGAATAAGGCTGACCGGGTCATAGCGTTGGGAGACGGCATCAAGCCTGCGATTCACGATGCGCCTCGCTCTCTCTAGCGTGCTAGCATCAATTGCAACTCTGGGTCTGCCATCCGAACTGTGAAGATGATCAACTATTTGATTATGAAGCCTCATGTCGAACTCTCGCAGCCGGCGATGAATCGCTAGGAAAACATCTCTGACAGTGAGCGTCTGCGGATTCAGATTCAGAGGATCGAATTCCGGGCCGACACCCACAGGGATGCGGAAGGGTCGAGGCTGTATTGTGGGAATGCACACATCAAGCCGGCTTATCGGCGGACTACAGGCCTCCCTGTACAAGTCCGCCTTCCGACCGCGGCTTTCAAAATATGCATCAAGGCCCTCGTCCGTCGTGAATAGTGACAAGTCCAGTCAAAAATCGGGAAAACTACAGGGGTCCCGCAGCAATTTATCGAGCTCAATCGGCCCAATGCAAGCCGAGGGCTGAGATAAAAGATCTCTTCTAAATCTGTGTGTTAATAATGTTGACGTTTACGAGAGGCGGACCGAGTACAGTTGTGCTGACTGGGAGTCAACGGTCTCCTTGTCTTCCCACAACCACAGATGAGCGGCGTGATCAGGGTACTCGTCCGCGTCTGTGGTCATCAAACTGCGAGAGCTCTCCTCCCTGGAGTCGGCGTCGAGGACTGTCCTGCCAGTGGGCAATTCTTGGGGTAAGGCACACAGCGGCAAGGGGATAACTCTGGATATATTGTCATACGAGCAGACGGACGTGGCGTAGAAGACGAACCCAGACATGGCTCAAGCGCCGAAGCAAGTTGCAATTGGTCCTGGGGCCGCAGCGGCTTATATAGCCCCCCGGGGAATCGCGGGCCGCATGTGGCGACTGACATCCAGTGGGCCCACAGATCGATGAGTCGAAAGCACATGACGAAAGTAGAGTCATGTCTGTGTGGGTGTCGGGTCGGCGTCGTCAACATATACTTAAGTAGTGAGGATTCGAACTTGAAGAGTCTGAACCGTTAAGTATATAATTGCTTTCACGATGTATTTTCACGGGTGTTCGTCCAGCGAGCGGTTGAAAGCCTACCATGCTACCTTCATTGCAAAACGCTGTGGCGGACAAGCACGAAAGGCATGACACGGTTTGACACCACATTGTGGCCGGATCGAAGCCGCCGTGCCGACTGTGCTTCTCGAAGCTTCTACGTCTTCTTGTCATGAACGCCCACCATCCCCACACTCTCGCACTCTGTCCCCGCTCCGACCCGCTAAATACAAGCATCTCTCGCGCGTCTTTCAGATGATGAGGGCCGCAAGGTACTCCGCAAGCCTTCTCGTCCGCTCCGAAATACTAACCTGTGGCGCAGACGTGAAGCAAACCGGTGGCTCGAAGGGGTCTACACGGTGCTGGACCACTTTGGAGTACACAGATCCCCAAAATGGACGCGCAATCAGCGTTGGTGGCGACTGCGAGAAAGAACGAGCGACATCGGTAAGATCCCTCTTCTTCTTCTATTGTCCGTCACCACCATTCATACCCACCTCCTTAGGCAATTGCAGTCCACCGCCCGCGCGCTCCACTCGCTCTGACTCAAAATCGAAGGCCAGGGACGCCAGCCGACCGGACGACGGCTGTTCTTCGCAAAGGAGGCAAGCGCTTGAGCCAGTCGTGTGGGCTAGCATGCTCTGCTTGTTTTGCCAACACAATGTGCAGAGCAACACAACGATGGGCGGGGCGTTGAGTGAAGGCCTGCGAAATGGGTCTCTGGTCAGGAAATGGAGCAACGTGTGTCTTCGCGTAGGCTTGTATTCAAGGCTGACTTCTGCCATAGCCGCAACCGTCCGCTCTACACGTCGGCCACCTTCCAACACGCGTTTACGACTACAACAGCAACTGAGTAGTTCCAGCAAAAGAGGACACCACATTCGTCTGCAGCCAGCAGCCGTGACGCGACAGAGTTTGGGGCGGTAGCGGGCGACAAACGGGTCTAGGTGCGTGGAACCTCACTCTCCTGCTTCAACACGCGCGCTGACGTTTTCCCCGGTCTTCCCTTCCAGGGAAGGCTCTTAAAACGTCTTCATACCCTACCATGGAGAAGAGAGTTGGCAGTATGGGTGCGTGTTTAGTCGTCGACTAAGTACTAGTGCTCAGCTTCTCTCTCTAGCCACGATACCTTTTTCACCTTCGCCACAGCATCGCGTTTTTGGTTAAGAAGCTAGTCCGACGGCAGAATCGTACCATTTAGTCATACGTCGCCACTTTCTCGCGCTGGCCACTCGACACATATGTATCCTCAACCTGTATCCGCTCAAGGCCACTGCGATGGCCGACCGCAATATCCTTCAGC